CCATCCATCCATCCATCCATCCATCCATCCATCCATCCATCCATTATTTATTTTCCCCTCAACGACTTTTCACTTCCAGGCATGTCTAGATCAGACTCACCTCTGACTCAGTTTCCTGCTAGAACCAGTGGGCAATTCCCTGGAGAGTCCTGCACTCTCTGAGTCGGTATCTTGGCCCAGGACTCAAGGAGAAGGAGGGCAGAAGACGAGGTGTTGAGGTGTCGTTCTGTGCCTCAGCTTGTCCCTACCCCCTCTCTCGCCCCAGTCGGGGGTCCCCAGGGGAGGGGGGCGGCTGAGCTTGAGAACTGCTAATGAAGCCGCAGCCAATTAACGCCCGGGCCAGAGTTGGGGGCGGATAAAATTAGCAGCGGCGGCGGCAGGAGGGAGCTGCAGGGGCGGGGTGGGGAGGGTGGGCAGCTGGCTGAAGGGGGCCTCGTTTGCAGGCAGCGAGCGGCAGCGACGCGGCCCGGCTCTCCAAACTCGCGCTCGTCCCTTCCCCCACCCCCTCGTCTCTGGCCTCCCTCCCTCTCTCAGCCGTCTGCAAACTCAGCGCCCACGAAATTAGGAAGGAAAAGGAAGATCGATGACTCCAGATGCCGCAAACACCGTTCCCCCTCCCCCCCACCTGCCGCCTCCCGCCAGCCCCTCGGAGGTTAGCAGGTTGTCAGCGCTCTGCCTACGCTGTCCCTGCTACTCCGTCCCATTTCAAGGCCTTGTACCTCCTCCCCCAAGTCGTGTCAACTGTCCGCTCGTAGTCCCCTCTCAGGTCTCATCCCCACTCGATCTGCTGCAGCTTCACCTCGCCCACCTCAGGGAGAAAATCCCCACCTGTCAGAGCTCCTACCGCAAGGGTCGCCCTCGTCTCTGCCTGACCTGGATGACTTCCAAGGTGCTAGCTCCCTCAATATTTGCCTCAGTTTCCACGAGCCGCCGAGGGAGGATGCCCTGGCCAGGTCTCTGCCACAGCACCACCCCCTTCCCTACGAAGGTCTCTCACACAGACACGTATTGGATTTCACTTTATTTTGTTCCCTTTCCCGTCTGTTTTGGCGTAGAAAAATATCACCAAGAGGAAGCAGCCGGAAAGGGGCAGGTGGAGCAGGACTGCAGGGACGGGAGGGAGGCGGGCAGAGAGGGCAGGCGCCCAGGCGATCGCCTAGGCCCAGGAGTGCTGCTTCCGCACCCTAATTAGGGTTTCGGGGAAAGGCGGACAGGCATACCGGCAGGCAGAAGGGGTCAGGGATAGGCCGCAGTTTATAGGCCTCACAGTCTTTACGTGGCGACAGGGTGGAACAGGAGGACAAGCGCCTGGGGGTAAGAAAGGGTGCGACGAGGGTGCCAGGCCAGGCGTCATTAAAGATTCGGACAAAAGGAATGTCCAGCCCAGCGCCTGCGGCATGAGGCGGGGACCCACGGCAGACTTGAGGGACGCTGGGACCGCCTCCAAGCCCCGCCTATTCTAGGCCTGCGCTCTTGCCTCTCCACTTTGGGAGGCGGCGGAGGGGGCTACCTCTCCCCCTCCTCGCCGCCCCACTGCCTCGTGGGCACTCCCCATAAGGAAAGGGTGGACCTACGCCGGCTGATGGCTGATGGTCCCCGGGAGGGCTGTTCCTTTCGCCCTCGGAATGGAAGGGGTGGTGGACACGGCCACAGGAGCTGCGGGGCACAGGGAGGGGTCCCACTTAGGGAGGCCGGGATTTGGCGGGAAGCTTAGGGCCCAGGCGAGGGCGAGGCGCGCTACCCAAAGTAAGGGTGCTCACTCTGGAAGTTATAGTCTGGGCACACCTTCTGCACCAGTTTGTAGTCAAAGCTGAGGAAGGAGACGAAGATGCAGATGACTTTGAAGGGCTTGGCGCAGAGCCAGGCGGCCTGGCTCTGCGTGTGCTCGGTGAAGCACACCTGCGACGGGTCGTACAGGCACGGGCGGTGCTTGCGCGCGCGGTTTGTCTTCTCATACTCCACGTGGCAGTTGAAAGCGCGAGACTCTTTGGCCCCGGGCACTCCCAGCGCGCCCCCGAATGGGCCCGCCAGCGCGCCCCCGAGGGTACCCCCTAGCCCGGGTCCCGCGGCCGCTATCCCCAGCGGGGGCCCCAGCCCGGGGAGCACCCCTTCCAGGGCCAGCGTAGACTGCAGCGGGTGGGGAGCCGGCCCGGGCAGCCAGACGCCCCCGAACTCGACACGCTTGGAGGGCGGCACGATACTGACGCTGAGGTTGCCCAGGCTAGACGAGTTGTGGCGGAAGTACACGCTGAAGGTACCGTTCACGTGGTCCACGATCTTGCCGGTCACCAGCAGCGAGAACTTGAGCGTGTGTACCCGGAAGTAGAAGTCCCCCCAGCCAAAGATCTTTTTGGCGCGGGCCGCTTTGATAGACGGCTTCCTCTTGGTGCGCGGCGCAGGCAGCGCCCCCGCCCGGGCCAGGGCCCCGGTGTGATTAGCCGGCCAGGCCCAGCTCCAGGCGCGGGCTGTGCCCAGGCCGTGGGAAGCCCTCGGCACCGCGAGCTGTTGGCCAGGGGCGCCCCCTCTGGCCGCGGCGGGGCGCAGCTCCAGGTACTGGGGCCTCCCGGACTCCGGAATCTGGGCACTGACGACCTGTGGACGGAGAAAGAGCAGAAAAGAGAGACGCCGGAGTTGTCCTTGGCCATCCCAGGGCCCTACCCAACCCCCAACCCCCCCCCCCCCCACCCGGCCAGCCCCTTTTCCCAGCCGCTAGGAGCCCAAAGGGAACTGGGCAGTCCACAGTCAGTGGTTCCGGGAGCGTGTACTGGTGCAGGCCTGCAGCCCTTCAACCCTCTGTACTCTTGGCCAAGTCACTGACCAGTACTCAGTTTCTCCATCTGTGAAATGACACTGAGAATCCTTGTGTTCTCAGAGAACTCCGATGCGAGCTGAGAAAGGCAAAAAAGCCAAAGCCCGCGGGGGTAGAATAGGGAGTGGAGCTGTGGACGCGGTCTGCGTCTCCCCTGGCCTGGAACCTGCTTGGTTCCGAGTAATGGTGGACCAGGGAGGAGGTGGACTCAGGCAGTCCAGGTCATGACCGTTGTCAACATCCCAGCATCAGGAAAGAAGTGAAGACCTCCCAACACCTCTGCCGAGACTCAAGCCCCCCACGCAGGCCTCAGCCTCCACTCCCTTGCCGGGAGGGGCCCGGGAAACCGATTGAGCTAAGAGCCCTGGAGAGTCTCGGCACTGTGGGTTGAGGCTGGGGGGCTCCGCGGGCACCCCTCTCCGCCTCCGGCACTCTTACTGTGGGGGAGGCCGCCTAGTGGTCCTTCACTGGGCTTGGAGGGGGCGGGAGGACCAACCCCGCCCGCCCTCACCCGTCTCCGCCTGTCTCAGGTGGCGGCCGATCCGGGGAGACAGCGCGGGCGCGAGTACAAGATGGATCGAGAGGCGGGAGCGGCCGGGCCAGGCCCGGGCCATCAATTATCTGGGGCTGGTGGGATGGGGTGGGGGGTGGCCGGGAAGGAAGGAGACGTGTGAGAGCCAGGGGAAGAAATATGGAGATGCCGCTGCAGCGAGGGGAGCGGCAGGGAGAGGAGCCCAGGGTGTCAGAGTGTGTCAGTCAGACTGTTAGCTGTGGCTGGTCGGTGTGGCCCTTGCAGCCCAGGTTCAGACTGTCCGGAGTGGGTAGCGTGTGTGTGTCAGCCTGGGGTGGTGGTGTTTCCGTTAGCTCGGGCTTGGTTATGTGTGTGCGTGTGTGTCTGTGTGCCTGGAGTGACGGTGTGTGGGAGAGCATGTGTGCGCGTGCACGCTCACCATGTGTCTCAACCTATGGTTATGGGTGTGTGTGTCTGCCTGGAGTGGCTGTGCACGGTGGTCTGAGGAGCCTGTGTGTGTGTGTGTGTGTGTGTGTGTCTGCCTGTGGTGCTGACTGTTGTGTCAGTCTGTGGGGGCTATGTATATGTGCCTGGGTTGTATATGTGCCTGGGTTGGCTGTGTGTGTTGGTGTGTTGATCTGAATGAGGCTGTCAGTTTGTGGTGGTTGCGTCTGTGTGACTGGTGTAGTTGTATGCCTAGGTTGGCTGTGTCTGGTTCTCTGGAACTGTTACTTTTCCTGTGTGAGCCCCTATCATCCTCTGTCCATGTGTCAAGCTCTTTCTCAAGGGTGTGTGTCACTATATCCACAATGACAGAACGAACAAGTGCGGTCTGTTGGGGGGGGGTGCATTTGTGTGAGTTGTATATGACTGGTCCCTGGGGGCTTCCCCGCACTGGCCTGCAGGCTGAGCTTTGGGTAGGTAAAGAGGCCTTGTAGCATGGGTGCCCCCCTCTGTTTGGACACACCCTGTGTACACACCATGAGTCCACAAGGGACAGGAATGCTGGAGTCAAGCTGCTGGGCTAGAATCTCCACCGCCTGGTCCCCATCCCCGCAGCACTGCGATCCCGGGTTATTAATGCTGCGGCCGCCACCCGCTCGTCATACATATTTATCGCCCCCCTCATTCCTCCTCCCGTCCATCCCTCCTCCCAGCTCAGGTGAGGGGGGCGGGGGCGGCAAGAGTGATTGACTCAGACAGACAAGCTGGAGCTGGCAGCTAACACCAGGAGGGTGGGCCTGAGAAGGATGGTGGGAAGGGTCCCGGGGGCGGGGGGGGGGCGGCGGAGAGGGGGCAAGGCAGGCGTCCAAGGAGGTGGGCTTGGAGAGGGCAGGGCCTGAGCCTCAGGGAGGCCATTGGAGAAAGGGAGTGCATAAGGCTTCCAGAGAAAGTCAAATAAGGGGGGAATCATTTGAACTCTGACTCCTCATCTCCTCACCCTTCTGGGCCCAACACTGCCTTTCCAGGGGCATCCATCAGTCTCCGGTCACCTGCTCTTATGACCCCGAATGCCTCTGAGACACCCCCTCCCTGTACACCCCCGCAGCACTCATCGTCCTGCATCCAGCCCAGGACTTGTCAAGGGCTGCTTCAGTCCAGCGACTCCTCGCAGGCAGGGACTGGGAGAGGGAAGGAGGTTTGGCTGGGTGGTGAGGGGTGCTGGGGGTCCCCCCCGGCCCCCACCACCCGGCGATCCCAGACAAATTGCTGTCTGCGCTTCTCTGATCCTGGCAAATCCCTGGGCTTTGGGCACCCGCACCCCCATCCGCTGCGGGAGATTGCCAAGACAAAAGGGAAGAGTTGGGGGGGCGGCCAAAGCGACCTTGGGGGAGCTCAGACAGGGAGGGGTGAGAGCCTGTGAGGAAACGAGCCGAGAAATGGGAACATGGAATAAAATAAAATCAAATCCTCCCTCTGGCTTCCTCGCTTGCACGATCACTCTCCCTCTCGCGCGCTCCCTCTTTCACTGTTTTTCCATCTCTCTCTGCGACTCTTCTCTCAGTCCCTCACTCTGTCTCGAATTTTCTCCTTCCGTGATTCTGTTTTTCTCCCTGTTTCTGTCTGTCTCTCTTGGTTCTTTCCCTCTATCCCTCAGGCTGTCTGTCTCCATCTGTGGGTGCGGTGGGAGTGAGGGAAAGCAGGGTGATAAAAGAGCCCCTCTTTCCCCAGACCCATGGTGCTGTCCCTCCCTCTCTCTGACTGAGAGTGGGAGCAGGGTGCTGTCCGAAGAGGGGTCCCCCTCGCTCCAGAGCTGGTTTAATTAAGCTAATTGGGCACAGTGACATTTGCTGAGGGGAGAGGCTAGTCTGGCTGTCGGCGCAGGGGGCGGAGGTGCTTGGTGGCAGGCGGGGGCGGGGGCGGGGGAGGGGGTGGGGGGGTGCTCCTCACCAGGCGCCTCCAGGCCCATGCAGGGCGGGAGCCCAGCCAGGAGCGCTCTGCCCCTGAGGCAGTGAGCCCACGCAGTGGAGGGGAGTTGAGGCAGCCTCTTGCTGCTGAACAAACTCCACGGTGTGTGTGTGTGGGGGGGTTCTTGACGGATGGGACCGCGGGGGGGGAAGGGGGGAGGTTCAGGCTGCCGGCCCCCCAGCCGCATTGCGGGGCGCACCTCCCCCAGGCCTCCAGGCCAGTCCCTGGCTTCTCTCCGGCTGCGGGGTCAGGCGGGGCCGCTCAGGACTCCGGACCAGGGGAAGGGAACGGCACCCTGTGCTTGGGGAAGGAACAGTGCTCCAGGCCTGGGCTGAGGAAGGGGGGGGAATAGCCTGTGAAGCCCTTGTCCCTAGCAAGGGGTGGGGGTGGGGGCCACCGCAGACAGGGCGGGGTGGAATAGACAGGGTCTGGTTGGGAACCGCGGACAGAGATGGGGGTAAGGACAGAGGCGGGTGGGCAGCACAGGCCGGGGGGAGGGCTGCGACGGAGAGAGAGGGGGCCTGGGGTTTGGGACTCGGCAGGCACAGATGTATGGTGCCCAGATGAGGACGGACCGAGGATGGGCACGGGAGCTGGGACGGAGAGGAGGTCACACATGGTGGTTAGCCGCTGGACAGAGGCAGGGGTGCGGATGGGGTAGGGACTAGGGGAACGACGAGGGGTAGGGAATGGTATGGGAGCCAAAATGGGGAGGAAGGAGGACAGGGATGGTGGATGCGGGACGGGCAGTGGGGACAGCAAGCAGGACTGAGAGTGGGACAGGAACTGGGGGATGGGGGTGGGGGTGGGGAGCAGCCGGGGGCGGGACCAGAAATGGGGGATGGGTTACTGGGTAGGAACAGGGGGGCCGAGGGATGCAGAGACCCGGGAGATGGGGATGGCAAATGTGAATGGGGACTGGAATGGGCAGTGGGGGACAAGGAAGGAGATGGGAGACAGGGACCGAGACAGGAGCTGAGGACAGGTATGGAGGACAAGTCAGAGGAAAAGGCAGAAGAGGGGCAGGATTAGGCTATGGGAGGGGGCCAGGCAGGTGGACGCGACGATACCTCCTTCCAGACCCCACTACAGCGTGGGGGGGGGCGGGGACCGCTGGTGGGGCGGGCTCTGCCCTTGGGCCGGGCACCCCCTCCCCCTCAGCCCCGCCCGCCCGCTTGCTCGAGGCCTGCAGCGCAAGGCTACCGTTATCTGAATTTTGATTTTATTTTATTTTATTTTATTTTATTTTATTTTATTTCCCTGCTTCCTAGAGCCGGCGCGGTCCCTCCGGGAACGGCCGCCCCCCGCCCCCCGCCCCGCGCCTCACTTTATTATTGCAATAAATGTGCCTATAAAGGCGCGGGCTCCGGGGCGCGGTGGTGGTGGTGGGGGAAGAGCCGCGGAGCCGGGATGTAATTTCCCGAAGCCAGAGCCGGAGGGGGAGTGGGCGGGGTGGAGGTGGAGGAGGGGCGGGAGAGGGAGAGGGGGAGACTCGCCAATTTCTAGCGCTCGAGGCAGCGCTTCCTGCTCCCCATTCCCACCCCGCAGCTCGCTTGCACCCCACACCCCGCGACTCCCCATTGCACCCAGCCGTGCTTGAGCCCTGGGACCCCTACCTACCCCATGACCCTGCCCTCTCTCTGCCACCCTGTCCCCTTCCTGGACCCCACCCATGTGGAGTTGCCGGGCTCTGTTCAAAGTTCCCCATCTCCTTGACAATGACTTCATCTCTGAGCCCTGGGATGCCCCCTCCACTTACCTGGTCTCTTCCAACGTTTATGTCGCCCCTTCCCAGGGACCTCGCCTCTGACCCCAGTGACCCTTCATTACCTTTTTTCTGTCTCCCAATTACCTCACCTCTTCCCCAGTCACCCAGTCCTGGATCTCCAATTCCTCCCCCACCCTAACCCCTTGACCCTCTAAATTCTCCTTTCCAACGAGCACCTCTCTCATACATGCAGGCTCTGGCCCAAGGGAGCTGTCACAGGGCCCCCCTTCTCCTGTGCCCCTGGCCCAGCTGCGGCCCCTGATTACCCCAAATCCCCGCCAAGGCTCTGGGCCCTCGCCCAGGCTGCACGTGCCTAAGTGGCCCAGCCAGAGATTAGCTGGGGGGCTGGAGAGGGGTATGAGGCAGGAGGGGGTGGCTAGATGCAGGTCTGGGGCCCCGCCGGCTCTGAGAGGCTCGCTTAGGCCTAATCCTGCCCTGAGGCAGGATAGAGCTGGAAGGTCCCACAGGGCTCCGCCCCTGCCCTCCCCCAGCTAATTAGTAATTAGTGATTAGTGATTAGTGACTATTGATCTCCTGCTGCTTCTCCCAGTAGGCAGCCGCTTTGGGAAGGGGTGGGGAAGACAAGAGACAGAGGGGGAGAGGAGTCAGAGACCTTATCAGAAAGATCCTGAAGAAGGTCTGGCCAAGAGGCCACAGCCCCAGGGGTAGCAGAAGCCTGGAGTCCCAGGCCCAGGAGGGGGCTGGGGAGGCAGGGTTGTTAGCGTTGGACAATTAGGATTTTCCAAAGAGCTACCTTGTAAACTGTCTCCCACCAGCTTCTTACCATGTCAACATACTCCCAGCCCTGGCACTGAGACAGCCCTGAGCTCTCACACACACACACACAGGCCACACTCAGATATGTGAACACATCCTGAGGCTCACAATCCCATACCCACACTCAAAGGCACTCAAAACCACAAGCACACAGACTCTCACAAATGCCAGAGACTCACCTACAGGCAATACATGCACCCCAGCACACAGATGCACTTGGAGACCCACCTTGGGACATGCACATGTGCCCATACTGTACTCACAAGTGCACATAAGCCCACACTGATAGGTACTTGGACACACAAACACTTCTCTACACACACTGTGCTGTGCAATTACACATATGGACACACCCACAGGCCTTACATGCGTGTAAACACTGATTCTCACATGCACACAAGCTGGACCAAATGGCAGATACACTCTCCCCCACTGACTCCAACACGGAGGCCCACAACCAGCTCACACACACTCAGATCCCCATGGCTCACATCCTCACGCTTACTCTCCTTCAAGTCTTCACCAGATGTTTCATTCCCCTTCAGGGGGCAAAGGAAATTAAACCAGATCCGTCCACAGGGGAGTTTATTTGATGGGGTGAGTGGAGAGGAGAGTCAGGAGGAAGTACAAAGGAGGGGCAGGGGAGTAGCATCCTTACCTCCTCTCCCCCAGGCCTTCACATACACAGATGGGTTGTGGGGCCCAGGCCCCCTCCTGCAGTAGGCTAAGGGCAGAGCTGGGCAGTGAGTCCAAAGGGAGCTCCTGCCAGGGGAAGCAGTTTTTGTGAAGGGGGCCTCTGCCCACATTCCAGCCCCTCAAGGTCACCAGGCACGTTTGGGAGAATCAGGAAGCTCAATCACCACCTTCTAGGACAGCCCCTACCCTGCTGGAGTTGTTGAGTTCGATTTGGCTGAGCAGGTGGGGTCCAAGTGTTGGCAGGGGAAAGGTAGGAGTACTACACCCCTTGCAGATTCTGCAGGGGCTTGGGGCTGGTGTGCAGGGAGTAGGGGTTTAGGAAGCTATGTGCCTGCCGCCAAGCCAGGGAAGTCACAGTTAGGGTGCAGGAAACGAAAAAGTCATGGGCAAGGAGGCCATGAAAGGAGACGGGGTCCAGGGCCTAGGCCCCCATTGTGGGGCACAGGGCAGGGCACTGACTCACCCCTTCAAAGCCAACACCACACATCACAGTAGCTTACACATGCACCCTGGACCTCCGCACTAGAGACCGAAGCCTGGCTGCCCCACACACATGCGTGCACAGAGGTGCACGCGCTGACCCACACACTCCACACCAGCACATAGGAGCACACGGGCGCTCGGGAGTTGAAGCCTCTAAGTTGGGAGGGAGGCCGATCAAATCTGGGCCTCCTTAGCCTCGGTTCTCGCCCCAGAGCCTGGGGGGTGGGGGGGGGGAAGAGGCAACCGTGGGATGTGGGAGCAAGGAGAGCACAGGAAGAGAGACACCCCTCCCAGACAGCCCCCACCCTCATCAGCTGCGCGCGAGAGAGGGGTGTGTCTGCGAGGTTTGTGCAGGGGAGAAGGTGTCTCCGCGAGAAATGTGATGGGAGATTGTAGCCAAGTTCGGCCGAATCTGTGTGCGCGCGTGTGTTCGGGTCGTGTATGCTCGGAACACAGTGCCCACCTGGCATTGTGACAAGTGCAGAGAAGAGAAATGCGAAGGCGGGGTGGAAGGGTGGAAGGACAGACAGCGAGGAAGGCGAGCGAGGTTGGCGCGGAAAGACGGCAAGGCTGACACCCTGCTGGCTTGTCTGTCTGTCTCGCACTCCCGCTCAGTCTGGCGCACTCGCGGGTCGGGCTTCGTCCCCTCCCCCGCCGAGCCGGGAGCCAGATCCAAGTCGGGCCTCCACCCCGGCACCCACCCCCAACCCTCAGCCAACTTGGGTTGGGAGAGCGCCCGTCCTGGATCGGGGAGTCTGTCTGTCTGCCCGGCGCCGCGCAAAGTTGGGACGCTCCGCGCTGGGGGCCGGGCGGGCGCACGGAGCCCCTAGCACTCTGGGACCTTTGCGTCCTGGACCCCGGCACTCCCGCTCCAGCCGGGCTCGCCCTTACCTTCCTCAGGAGCCACGGACCAAAGAGCAAGAGAAGCCATTCCGGGAGCAGCCGCATCTTCCCGGGCGGTCGAGCGGGGCGGGCGGGACGGGTCCCAGGCAGGCCGGAGCCGGGCCTGGGGGCGAGGGGCCCCGGGCTGGCGCGCCGTGGGGCAGCTGCCGGAGCGGCGGGAGCAGGCGGCGCGGCCCGCGCGGACTGAGCGAGAGGAGCGGAGCTCGGCGCTGGGGGCGGGGCGCAGGCGGGGGAGAAAGTTGGGTCTGACTCGGGCGGGCGGGGGGGGGCGGGGCTGCGCGTCGCTCCAATCCCGGCCGCGCCCCGCGCGCCCCCTCCCGCCCAGCTGGGGGCACCGAAGGTGACTTTCACCCCGACACGCCCCGGACACGCCCCCGGCCCAGGTGCGAAGCGCAGAGGACTGCGGGGCCTAGGGGTCGCGTACCCGAGGGGCTAGGTCTGTGCGCCGATGAGGGATGGGGCCGGGCGTGGGGCCCGAGGCTCCGGGACCGTGTCCCCGAAGGGGTGCACGGCGGAGCAGGAGCCCGGCGAGGCTCAGAGGCCCCGCAAGACCAGGGTCCCTCGGTGCTCCGGGCCCCTTCTAAGCTCCGGGCTAAGGTGGGTCCGGGGCAGGAGTAGGGCAGGGGCCGAGGTGAGGCCGGGCGGGGCCTCGGGCGGCTGCGGCCGCGCGGCGCTGACGGGGATGGATGGGCGCCCCGCGGCTCATTTGGCCCGGAGATGAGAATCATTGATCACGGACGGAAACCCCATCACGTCTGTCAATAGGGCTGACAAACGGCGCCGGCCGCCCCCACCCCCGTCCCCAAGGCACCTCCGCGGCCTCGGGACCCCTCTGCTGGACCGGCCGTTCACTTTTGCCCCTCGCCCCGCACCGCTGACCCTCGCGCGGCCCAGAGAGTCCCTGCAGGGGGTGGGGGTGGGGCAGGAAGTCCCCTCAGCGCCGCCTGCCCAGCCTCTTGGTGCAGTCTCTACCCCTTCCCTTCCACTGTCCCATCTTTCACCACCAGCTCCTCTCGGTCCTTGTCCCTTTTCTTTTCCGTCTCTGCCCTTGTCTCTGTCCCCAGCCCCAGCCTTGTCTCTGTCCCTATCCTCTTGGCTGTTTCTTCATGGGCTCGGCTCCCTCCTCCCCCTAGTCTCGCTCTCTTCCCTGCCCGGGGAGTCTTCAGCTGTCAGCTGTTGCTATGCGCTGAGGCTGTGGCTGAGGTTGTGGTATGACCGACACCTAGACAGTGAGAGATGGGGACAAGCAAAGAGACAGAGAGACAGACGCATACCCCGAGACACCAACACCCCCCCCCCAGGCACGCACGCAGATGCATTCACAGGGGCAGGCCACACCACAGAGGTGAGCACACGGGCGGAGTGAAGCATGTTCATGCAGAAACCAGCACACACATGCAGGCAGGTGCACACCTAGAGGCACACTGACGCACACAGATGCACACACACACACAGGAGCACACACACACACAGAGACAAATGCACATTTGCAGCAAGAGACAAGCACACCCAGCCAGGTACTTGGACCCCAACCCCCTTCCTTGCCTTGGCAGAGAGGCAAACATCCACAGACCGAGATGGACACACACAGGTATACGCTGGCCCAGGCCGTCCGAAAGACAAGCCCAGCCACATACAAAGAGATATTCAGATCCAAATATGTGACAGACAGCAGAAAAGGATCAGTGATGCTGAGAAGATGAGGCAGACTCAGAGACACCCGGAGAGACAGACAGAAGCCAGGAGGCAGGGACCTGGGTGCAGATGGGGCAGGGAGGAGAGAGGCCGGAAGGGGCAGGAATGACCAGGCCTGACGCCCCAAGGTTCCAACCAGAATCCTGAGCCCAGGTGCCAAGCACAGGGGCCGCTGTGAGGTGGTAGACGGGGCCAGTGGATACTCCCAGGCCTAGGGTACCCAGGGTAGCAGCCCATCACTAGGGTCTTGATCTTCTGGAGTCCTGACTGACCTACCTCATCTATTCTCCTTTGGCTGGTCTTAGGTCACCTCCTTCTGTCTCCAGCTATAGACACACACACACACACACACACCCCACTCCCGTCTCTGGGTCTTTGCCTCTGCCCTTGCATCTCTCCATCCCCATATCTCTGTCTCTCATTCTGTCTGTATCAGCCTCGGTCCCTGTCTCTTCTCCATCTCTGTCTTAGGCCCGCTGTCCTTGCCAGGTGAGGAGTTCGAACACTGCCTCCTTGTAGACTCTTTCCTGGCCGGTCCTGAGGGGCAGAGGGAGGAAGCTGACTGGATGGGCGTGTGTTCCAAGCCGCAGCTGGGGGCCCCTCTCGCTCTGCCCAGGATCTTGAGGCGACAGGCTGAGAATCAGTGGCTCCCCGGGGGCGCCAGATGCACGGCTGGCAGAGGGAGGGAGCGAGGGGGTGGGGCTGGTGGTGGTGGGGAGCAGGCAGGCTCTGGGGGAGGGAGGGGAGCCGGCTGGCGGAGGGTGGAGGGTGGAGGGGGTGTGGCAGAAGAGCCCGAGGGAAGGAAGTGAGAGGCTAGGCTGGGGTCCGCCTGCAGGTGCATAATTAGTGTTGGGGAGGGGGCTGTGCCGGGCTTATGGGTGAGCAGCGCCGCAGGAGTGCGTACGCCACCTGGTGGACAGATGAGGTCACAAACCTTCCTAAGCAACAGTGGAGGATGCCTCTTCTCCCCAGCAGGTTGACTCTGCCCTGGGGCTCTGGGGTGCCCCAGACAGTGGACGATCTCAGAACTGGCTTGGAGGCTGAGGCTGGAGATGGGGTCTCAAGGCTAAGAGGGATGGGGAAGGTTCTTGTTTCTAGAGGTGCCTAGACCCATAGCTTCCTCAAGAAGGGAATAAGCTGAGGAGGTTGAACCAGGGAGGGAGGCAGAAGCAACATAGTGCCCTCCTTTGGGTGTTGGGTAACGGTTCTTCCAGTGTTTGCGGACGCCCTCCCTGAGCTCACGTTTGCTGTTAAGGGGAGGGCGGTGCTCTAACTCTCTCTCACGCTTGGACAGTGTAAAGCTGTGTGACTTTCTGCAAGAGGTTCCCCTCTCTGGGTGAGGGTTGCAGTAGACCTATGCCCCCTCTGATTACAGCAGTCCTTTCCTGTCAACCCCTGGGATGTCTAAAATGATTGGTGAGCTGGATCTGTTGGTGGCCAGTGGGGCCTGGCAAACTGGTCTTCCCAGCTCTCCTTCAGTCCAGGGGCACCCCCCTTTTCTCCTGATTAATTAGTCTCCATGGGGACGCTAGCGCTTCAAGAGCAAACTCAGGCAGAGAGAGCTATGTGGGAACACCCTGAAGGACTGATTAGAAAGCCCTTCACAACCCCAATGCGTTCAGTTCTTATGGTGGGATTTCTCACTGTGGGAGATCGTTTTGGGGAGGGCTGGTGGTGTTATCCTGTAAGTGACAATGCAGAGAAACGGGTTTTGGAGTTACCGTCGCAGAGCCAGAGAGAATACGAGATCCAGAAAGGTCAAGTCTCTGGCTCAAGGTCACAAAGCGAGGAGAAACAGGTCTTCCTCCTCAAGTCCAGGGCCACCCCCTTCCCCTGGCAGCCAGATGGAGAGGGAGGGAGCTCAGGGAGAAGGGCACTGAAGACCAGACTCTCCAGCCTGCCTCCAGCACAGAGCAGGCCTCCCTCTGGTGGCGGAAGCAGGCAAGCACAGCCCAGCTCCCAGAGTCTCACACTCATAGGTAGACACAAGTGGTTTTTTTTCTTTTTTTTACAATTTTATTTATAACAATATCTGTGTTATTTAGTTGTAAAGGAGTTCAGCAAAAATTATTAAAACGTTCATGTCCCCAAAGCGGGGCTGCCCGCTTGCCCTTTCTGGGTGTGCCCCACCTTCTCCTCATCCCCAGGGGAGGGTGGGGGAGGCCGGGCGACCATTTACCAAAGAAAGTCTCCAGCCCTGGGAGCCACGGTGGGGGCACTGGAGACGGGGAGGGCCTGTCTGGGAGGGGTATTGAGCATGGCCATCTCAGAGGTGCCCCAGAGTGGGGGCTGGCACATGGAACGCCCACCCACCCCCCCAAGGAAGAACTAAAAAATTCCATCCTTTCCTTGCTCCCTTAGCCAGAGCCAAGTCTTCCTGACAGGGGCAGCAAAGGACTCTCCCTCCCCAGAAGGAGCCCTCAGGGAGCTGGTGGCGGGGGGGGGGGGGGGGGGGGGACGAGAGTGGGGGTGGGGCGAGGGAGGGGAGAGCCTTGACAAAGTGACTCGTACAGGGAGGGGAGGCAGCACCACCAGCTCTCCCAGTGGGGGCGCATTTTGGTGGAAGGTGGGAGGCAGGTACCTGTGAGCCACAGGAGCCCCCAGAGCCCTCCCTGCCCCTCTCCCTGAAGGCAGCATGGGGGGGGGGTGCTGAGGAGCAGGCAGAAGGAGGAGAACGGAAAGAGATAATACTGTGCTCGCTTGCTCACTTGCTCACTCACATATAAAAAGTAATTCCTTCATTTTTACATTTATACACCCCGGCAGGGCCGGGGAAGGGGGCTGGCTGGGCAGGAGGGGGCTCATCGAAGGACTTCTCTGGCAGGGGGCAGGAGGCTCTCTGGGGTGAGTCCAGTGATCAGGGCCCTATGCCAAGGGGTCCCCTATCTCGTCCTCAGGGCCCCGGCCCAGGAGTTCTCGCTTCTCGTCCGTGCTGGCCAGGGAGTGGCGGCTGCCGTGACCACCCATGTAGAGTGTGGCGTACACAGGGTTGGTGAAGTTGGTGGGCTGCAAGGTGACAGAGGGTTCAAGTGTGGCTCAGGGGATGGGATCTGTGGCCCAGGTGCCCGGCACCCCACCTCCATTCCATCATCCAACCCAGTGCCCTTCGTCGTCCCACCCACAGCCTCTTGTCTCTATCCTGGAAGCCTCCTCCTCTGTCCTCCCGGCCCACCTTGTCAGGGTCCAGGGCAAAGTCAGCATCCAGTAGGCCTCCTACATCATCAGGCTCCCCGCCTTCATACATCTTATAGGTGGGGTTCCCAATCTCCACATTCATGGCCCCGTTGGTCATCCGCTGGTGCTGGAAGCCCTTAGCCCTGGGGGAAGCAGGATTTTTAGGGGGCAGGGAT